TGGATACATTTGATTTAGGACAAAGCAAAACTGATTGAAGATCTATAGTAAACAATTCATTATGGGACTCTTTAAGTATCATTATCATTTTCAACTCTTGCTTCTTTTTTATATTTGTCATGCTCATTGTAGAGATCTTCTGAAATATTCCCTGTTTGAAAAGACACACAGGTATCTCACAGATTTTTTTTGGTCTTTATCATCAATATTATTCTTTATTTGGTCTATATCGACAATTATTCTTAGAGGCGCATAGATTATTGGTAAATTGATGTCTTACGATTTTCCCCAACTTTCTTGCATCTTTTGTGGAATCCCCAATTTGACATTCTCAGCAAAATCCAGCTTGTTCGTATGATTTTTAGAGGTTCAGTGGCATTTTGGTCTCTGACAACTGGAGTATATTACAATTTCAAGTTACATTTAAAATTCTTTTGGTTTTATATACTTTCTTTTCCTTCTCATTGTAAAGTTCTCGATGTTAAAGGCAAAACATAATTTATTGGTCTAGAGAAAATAAGCATTTGAATAAGTATCCCTTATACAAATACAATTTACCGAGAAATTATATGTGTGATGTGGATGAAAGGAAATTTGACTGCATGGAAATGCTTAAATTTACCGCATAATAATGTTATTTTTGCGTTCCAGTTGCAACTAAATTTTAATATTTAGTTTCAACAGGATAATTATCCCGTAGGTAATTCATTCACTATTAAAGTTTTTCTCAACGAAGCTTTTCCTCCACAGTTAATATCGACAAACAGTAGAATTCGGTGGCTATCTGGTTGTGTCAACTTAGGTAAAACTTTCAAAATTTATTTTTTTCTGTTGCCTAATTATGTATGTTATAATTCAATAAAACAAAAAAAAAACCTCTATAGAAAACTAACACAATGTATACCAGTACAAAGCGGAGTCAAAAAGGGTGACTCGTTAAGCCCATTTCTCTTTAATATAATAATGGATGAAATAATATTTTACAAGAAGTACATAAAGGTCACGGTTACAGAATGAGGAACAAAGAAATCCAAATATTACGTTATGTAGACGACGCCGCATTAATCGCCGAGAGAGAAGACAAGTTCCAAACATTAACACACATCTTCAATACAACAGCCAAGAAATACATTATGATAATTCTTATCATGTAGGTTGACTATAACCATTGCAAATTCGTCTCTACCTTCTGCTTTTCTTAAGAGCTTCTGTGTGTTTAACCGGGTCCAGTCGCGAATGTTTTTCAGCCAGGATATTTGTCGTGTACCAGGATCCCTTTTTCCTTCGATTTTACCCTTAATAATCACCTTTGGGAATATTTGAGCGTAAAATACTCCGCAAAATATTTGGAGCTGTAAACGACCAAGGGCAGTGGCGCAGAAGATATAATTTTGAATTGTATCAGCTCTTTGATGAGCCAGATATCATAACGTTCATTAAAACACAGCGACTTAGATGGGCTGGACACATAATACGAATGCCAGAAAATACGATTGTTAGATGGAGTTGAAGGTCCAGGTTGAATGCCTAAAGCTTCCAGCAGCTTTAGGCATTCGACCTGGACCTTTAGCTGTCGTTTTGTAATTTGCCAAATATGTCTAAAAATCACAGTAACATGTAAGACTACGTAAATATGTAGTAAATTATAACATTACCTGAGCAATACTTCGCCTAAAATCCAACTGGCTGATATTTCTGCCACTTTTGCGGTAGAGAATCCAAGCATTTTGTATACATACATCAATAAGATATGTGAAAATCGACCAGTACCACTTTTTGGATCTTACACTAATACGATAACTGAAACAATGTATGTTGTTCTTTGTAGCCCATTGAACCCTTAGCACATCTTTTCTGTTGAGGCTCTATGATATTGTTTAGAGCACAGTGTTGGTAGATACGCCGGGCTACACAGGATATGACCAATTTGTACAGAGTTGGAAGACAAGTCATTGGGCGATGTTTGGTTGGATCTTGGGTGTTATTTTGATCTTTTGGTATTAACTAAGTTGTTCCCTGGGTTAGGAAAGATGCTATTTCCTGCAGATTAGAAATAGTGTGATTAATTAATGCTGATAAGTTCTCATGAATACTCCAGAAGTTCTTGAGTCAGAAGTTCTGAATGATGTCTGGCCCAGGAGATTTCCAGTTTTAAAACTCTTTGATAATATTTGAAACTTCTTCAGTAGTGAAAGGTTCGTAAGGAGCAGTCACGTAGTGTTGGCAGTTATGCGCCGTACTTCGATCCATCCAGCATTTGTGTTAAGAGCAGCTGGTGTGGAAAGTTGATTTCCCCAAAACTCATGGATTTCTTCTTGCCTTGGGTAAGATTTATTGGGCACTTTCTGCAGTAGAATTGAGTGTCCGATAGAACGTCTTTTTGGCATTTTCAAAAAGCGTATTGTCGGATTTTCGTTTGTTACTAATTTGGTATCACCTTTTGTATTAAAAATTTGGTTTTGTTTGAGTTTATTTTAATGCCCATTTCCTCTCCTACCTCGTGAATACGATCAAGCAGAATTTGAAGACCTTCAATATTATCTGATAGAATTACTGTATCGTCTGCATATCTAATCACATTAAGTAGTTCCCCGTTGATTTTTATTCCATATGGTTGTCTCTCAAGTGCATTTTTAAATAGCTGCTCCGAGTAAACATTGAACAATGTTGGCGACAAAATGCAACCTTGTCTGACTCCTCGTTGTATAGAGATTTCATCGGTGTAGTTATCTCCAATTTTTACGATAGCAGTTTGATTCCAGTACAAATTTTTAATGACACGAATATCCTTGTCATCTATTCCGATATTTTTCAGTATTTGCATTAATTTTACATGCTGTACTTTATCGAATGCCTTTTCGAAGTCCACAAAACATGCAAATACATCTTTTCTTTGGTCACGTTATTTTTGTAATAGGATGTTTAGCGCAAAAAGTGCCTCCCTGGTTCCCATAGCATTTCTATAACCAAATTGGGTATCTTCAAGATCTTCTTCGCATTTGCGTCTAATTCTGTTGTGAAGTATTCTGAGGAAAATTTTAAGAGTGTGGTTCATTAGGCTAATTAATCGATTGAGCGTTTTCTCGCATTGTGTTTTTTAGGTATTGCGATAAAGATGGATTTGAGCTAATCTGCGGGAATCAGTCCGGTGTTATATATTAAATTAAAAAGTCTTACTACTACTTTTATGTTATCATTCTCTATTAGTTTCAGCAACTCAGTTGGTGTATCATTTGGATCACAAGCTTTTCTAATTTTAGCATTATTTATAGCATGTTCTACTTCGCATTTCATAATTTCTGGGCCGTCAGTACAGTTTTGGTAGAATTTGACAATATTATTCCTGTCATCTTCAAACAACTCTGATATATACAGCTGCCATTATTTTCTTATTTCTTGCTCATTTACAATAATTTTGTTATTAGTGTCAACAATTACAGACGGAACTCGTTTTTTAAATATATTACTCGTTTCTTTCCATTTTTGGTGCACATTAAATAAGTCGTGTTTAGAAATTACATCCTCCATTTCGTCGCACCTTTCTCTCATCCATTTTCTTTGGCTAATTTGATCTCCTTTTTTATTCTTCTCTGCAGGTGTCTATATTCTGTTACATTAGATTTTATCATTCGACGTTGTTTCATTAATTTCAAGATGTCGTCTGTCATCCAGTTATTTTTCTTTATTAAGTACATTAGTTTTTGGTTTTTGTCGCTGAATTCGTTTTAACCTTAGTTTAATATCTGCTACGAGTGGTTGATGATCAGATCCAATATCTGCCAAAAGATATGTAGTGACTTTTTTGACGGCATTTCAGAAACGCTTATTTACAAGTATATAGTCTATTTGATTTCTTGAAGACTCAAGAGTTATTGCCATTATCAAATGGGGCTTTCCAAGTGTATAGTCGTCGCTTGGGTATTTTATACTAGGTGTTTGCAATGATCATATCGTTTTCTTTACAGAATTCATACAATCTCTGTCCTCGATCGTTAGGTTGTCCTGAACAATAAGGACCTACAGTCTGACCTCGTCGACCTTCCCCAACTTTTGCATTGAAGTCGCCTATAATATATTAAATTTCGTGTTTATTAAGTTTCTGTCAGATGTCTTGGATCTGATCATACAACTTCTAGACTTCATCGTCATATTTTCTATCTGCAGTCGGGGCATAGATTTGAAGTATGTTAGTTTTAAATGGTTGAGTATTTATTTATAGTTATATTATTCTATCCGAGACTGGTACGAAATTGGTCACATATTTACTCAGTTCTGATGTTACTAATATAATTACACCATTTTTCCTTAGCAGCCGTTTTTCTCAAGGTGCAACTCTGTTATCTGTAATCCCGATATTAGTACCCCGTCGTGTCCTGATCTTAATGCCTATAACATTAGCAATTGCTGTTCCTACAAATATTCTAATGTATGAGCTTCCATGAAATAATTAGGTAGTACTTCAAGTGTTCATAATTTGTAACAGCGCACCTAGTTTTTTACAAGAGTTTATTTTTGGTAGCCACCCCTTGTAGTTGTTGTTGTTGGGCTGTAGCTGATTGTATGACAGGGGCCCGCCTCCTCAACACCTTCCCACCGACGTCCCGCATGCTATCACGTCCAGCGTCGGCTCCAGGAGTGCCCAGGCAGCGACCCAAGCATAAATTATTAATCTCCATTTTCATGGTTGTGCCTTTTTTACATACTGCCAGGTGTCACTTTTTATTCTACGACAGGAGAAACTTTTTTTAAGGAAAAAAGGAAAATAAGTGGTGGTCAAAATATAATGAGAAACCCGGTACCTTAATAACAATCAATTAATTCTATACTTTTTCTTTTCTCCAATAAGTATTCATAATATAACGGCGATGGGTCTCCCTACCAAATTTGATAATAAATGGGAATGGGTATAGTGTGTAGTGTTGCAAAATGTATATCTTGTACTAATTATACAAATTTAAGTGTGTTGTAATAAGTTTCTAATATATTGAATATGTTGTTACAGGGTGAAAGCCACGGTGGCGTCAGGCCCAGAGTGTGGCCCGGTGGCCGCCGATAAGGGGGCCGATTGTTGGTGGTCCCCACTGGCGGCCATGGGCTGCTTCGGGAATAGGGACGCTGCCCAGACGTCTGAAGACATTCGTTCTCAGAAGCGCATAAGTGACCAAATAAATAGGCAGCTCGCCAAAGAAAAACAAGTGTATCGTGCCACGCACCGACTGCTACTTTTAGGAGCAGGAGAATCGGGAAAGTCGACGATAGTTAAGCAGATGCGTATTTTGCACGTTAATGGTTTCAGTGATAAAGAGAAAAAACAGAAAATTGAAGATATCAAAAAGAATATTCGAGACGCCATTATTGTAAGTATCAATCTGATGAATTTAACTTGTTTATTAGTTTTAAATGTTTGACATTGTTTAACGTTTGATTTTTAAAAATTAAAATAAGTGTAACTTTAAATCAAAAATTCTTCTGCTTAACGATATAGATTTAAAAATAGTTTTGCAGGTTCTTTTAATGATTAAACTGTTTAAAATATTTCTAATAATTCGTTTATTGACAATGACAATCAAATTAATCACGAAGAAAAGCATCATTTAGCATCTTTGTGTAAAAAAAAAAAATTCTCGTCAGTAGAGTACAAAGTGCTCAGGACTTCAGTTTCCACATGAATATATGAATATGATTGCCTCACTGTTCCACAACCAAAATTACCTAGTTCTGATAACTTATTCATAAGAGGAAGTGTGGTAAAAACATTGTCAAAGTACAAGCAGTGTTCCCTTTTTTCCAACATTTTAATTAAATTCAGTATAACTCTTTCCCATAGAATCCGTTCAGGTTCTCTACTTTGATATACCTCAAAATTGATGAGGTTACCTGTTTCAGCACATGCAATTGCCCAAATTTTTATACCTCTCTTTATGGGTTTCATTGGAATGTACTGTTTCAAAGTAGTCCTTCCTTTAAAGGCAACCATACTTTCATCAATTGAAATATTTCTGCTCGGAGAAAAACATTCCATAGAGGTTTTTTTATCTTTGAATAAGAGGTCTCACTTTGTACAACTTGTCAAATTTCCGAGTTCTTCTGGTTGGCATTTGTTGGTTATCATTTAAATGGATATATCTTAATATTTTAAGAAATCTTTAAGAAGAAGAGGAAAAATACTAGTAATCCTTTCATTATGAAAATTTGGATCTGCAGACAGTATTTTTTTATAGAAAGTAAATTATTAAATCCCATTAGAATTAAAATTCCTAGGAAAGCTTTCAATTCTTATCAGGGAAAATCTAAATTTTTGTTGCCTTGGACAGCATAAAATGACTGTTCTACAATATAGTAACGTGTCATTGGAAAAAACATTAAAGAAACTTACTTGGTCTTCAGAAGACGGTATCATTTTCGAACCTTTGAATTCTGCATAATTATAATTTTTTAATTCAATAGGTATTGCTGGTTCTTTAGACCACCCTTTAAAATCATTAGTAGCGTCGAAAGTTGTTCCATCTTCACTTGATGATGAAGCATCATATTTTTGTTTTGAGAGGGTTTTTCGGGCTGGTAATCTCAATCTTAACTTAAAACTTAAAAAAGTTAAAATAGCGATGATGATTTCCAACCTCCGCTAGGAGAAGGAACCCGAAGAAGAAGAATCTCAATCTGCTACAGAATCATCTGAATCCCCTTGTTCTAAACAGTCGTAAATTGTAAAAATTTTAGGTAGTGCCTAGTGCAAGCCTGTGTAGAGGCTTGTAGTTAGTTACTATGTCTATTTTAACTGTACCATTTCCAGACGGAGTAGACTTTCTTTCTTATGGTGTGCCAGGTACTACTACATCCTTCTACTACTAGCATCTGAGTCACTTTTAATCTCGGAATATTCAGCTTGATCATCCGTTATTTCGTGTAATATTTTGGCTAACTGTTCAGTCGTAAGGTTTCCAATACTGTATATGAGAATTGTTTTCGGACATCTGAAAAAAAAAAACAGTTTCTCCTTTCGAAGTTTGGCGATCCAAATGGCAGTTGTAGCTTTGGAAACTGCTGCACGAAATATTTCTGTGGATGATCAAACCATCTCCTCAGGTCTTTCAGCCACGAGTTCTAGCGTCTTGAACTGATCTTTTACCCTGAACTTTATCTTCCAATATGGTTTGAAGCAATTCATATCTTTCACCTCTCAAAACATGACCCAAGTATTGTATTTTGCGCTCATTAATTATGCTGAATAATTCTTTTTGTTTATTTATGCGCCGAGATACCTCACCATTGGTTTTTTGGATTAAACTGGTTGTTGATATTTGCTCCCAAATATTTTATGGAACTTACCCGTTCTATTATTTGTCCCTTGACATACAAATGCACGTTTGTTGGTATCTTTGAAAATAGTAGAATTTTAGTTTATGTAATCTTGATTCTACACTGTTCTACACTGGGAAACATCTGCCCAACAAACTTGCCATCAATACGAAATACCATTCCCGTTCTTCTAGATGATATCCATCCCCATACATTGCCGTTAAAATGACCAGCTGCTCGATAACTATAATATATTTAATTCTCTACATATAAAGGATTAAATCTATTATTATCTGGTATATACACTCCAATTTTGCCCTTTTTAGAAGATTGAAAAATTTTCTCATCTGTAAATATTACCCTGTCCCAAAAATCTTGATTTTGTAGGTAATGGTTTAAAGCAAATATAAGTCTTGATTGCTTCTTTTGTGGTGTAAGAGCTTGCTTTTTTGTTGCAGTTCGGTACCTGCTTTAATTCTGAGCCAAGTTGTCTTTTTTCCCGCTAACTGTGATAGGTCAAAAATTCAGTAGAATGAGAGGAATTAATTTAATAATAATACATTTGATCTAGGTAATAAGTCATAGCGACAGAACTCATTTCCTTTTTATCGGGTACAGTTTGCAACGATTTTCTCTTACTATCACGAGCCTCTCTCGCTTCCTTGAAGGTTATATCTTTGAAGGGATCAATATGTCTCTGATACTCACAGAAATATTTTTCTTGTACCAATTTTGCAGTAGTGTTCCATATGGTTTTAATAACACTCTCCTTGTAATCACTACCATCACTTTTTCGCATGTTGAAGGTCCAGTCTTTTAAAACGAATGCTAGTCTTTCGTTGTTATTTTCTGCATCTAATTTGTAGTTGCGATCCACACAGAACATCATAAATTGTCCCCATATATAAAATTTAGATTTTCTTGTGTTACTCGGTATATTTTCTTCAATGTTTTGGTTTATAACTTCGTTTGAAGTACCACCGAAACGACTCATTTTGACGTATACAGCTACAATAATTTTTTTGGCAAACGTCAAACTTTGCTTTGCGATCGGTATCTATGGTTACGTCGTTGAAAACGCGAAGCTGATAGACCAATCAGAATTGAAAGACAGTTGGTGTTTTCGCGATAACACATGCTGTCTTTGGTTTGTGATTGGTCAGATTATGTGAAAATTTTAAGATGAGTGAAATAGTCTACAAAATATACTTCAAGGGTCGTATCAGTTTTTTTAGGATCCAGCTATAAATAGAGATGTTTATGTTACGTATTACTGTTTTCCAAAATCTGAAGATCTTGTGTTCTCCTGCAGCTAATATTGCAAGGAAAATACAAGACAGAAGAGGTCCGAGTAAACGAAGAATGTCCTGGCTCTATAATTTTAAAAAGTGGTTTTCATCATCTTAAGAATTCATCATCATCATTGGTTCTACAGCCCTATAAAAGAGCCTTGACCTTCCCAAGTCTATTACACCAGTCAGTTCTATCCATTGCCAACTGTTACCAGTTTGCTGCGCCTATTTTTCTACCATCCTCATCTACACCATCCCTCCATCTGAGTTTTGGCCTAGCCCTACTTCTACTTCCCACAGGTTGGACATCTTAAGAATTAGAAAGAATACAGTAAAATATCTGTGCATGTGAAACCATCAAATCATAAACGAAACAGAACATCACGCAGGACCAGAATCAGATCTTTCTTAGACTGTTTATTTCATTTCAGTTACTTCACTCACCGTAGATTTTTGTTAATAAAAACTATAAAACTTAATATTACATAAATGCTGGTGTACCGGATACATTATACTATTATATTAGATGTTTTAAGAAATTAAATTTTAAAGCAATAATTAAACGAACGAATTATTAACAAATTTGAGGCATACAATGATTATGTAGTTTATGTTATTTTTTTTTGGTAAAATAACATATTTTATAGTTTAAACGATTGAGGTCAAAGTCCAAATTAATTGTTTGAATTTAAGAGTGCGAAAATTAATTATTACATGGTTAAGTTAAACTCCGCTAAAGTGTACAGTATGGTACACGCTAACACTACTTTGTTTTGTTGACTCTTTTAATATAATGTTGGGATTATTTTTAAATTGTTCGCTGATATGAAAAAAGATGATCAGTATTTGGCATGCCGATGACTAGAGACTGGATTATATGCTCTAAAAAAATGGTTAAAATATGCATGTAACATGCACTTAAAAAGTAACGAAATGTGCCTTTATTATATTATGCAATATGCATTTATATATGCACTTTAAAAAATATATTTTTTAATTTTTAGGGCTTGAGATTTGGTGAAAAATAAAATTATGGTATAACTTAGAGAGTGTTTACTTATTACTACATTTAAAAAAATATAAATGAAAATTCACAAGAAAATGTCCTCGTGCTTGCTGTTACAGTATATAATGTTATGCCTTCTATCAATTAATATGTGTTTATATGAGGAAAACGATCTTTCAACATTACAGGATGTAATTGGCGCAAATCTAAAATTTGACACTCGCAAGGGATCCATATTAATAACTTCGTTAAAGCTTCCATTGATTATGTTATTTCTTGATCGCAATAAAGAAAATCCTTCATTCCGGTTTAAAACTTCACTAAATTTATCTTTAATTTTTTCTCCAATTGTCCCTGAAAGGTTTACTATTCTTTCTTTGACAGAATTAACAATGCAAATACTATCATTTAAAGATAATTTTTGACTCTCTATATAACATTTTTGATATCGATATAATTATTTGCAAGAAATATGGCACTATTTAAACACGTCCCCCATCTAGTTAACACTGGTTCTGGTGACAAAGAGATATCGGGAAGCATCTCCCTATATACTTCTACTGGCAATGGTGCTTTTAAAAATACTTTCTTTACATTGTTGATTAAAGTGTTTACATTTGGAAACTCGAGTCTAACTTTCTCTGCCACCCTGTTTAAACCATGCGCTAAACATGTACAATGAATCAAATTCGAAAAAAAAATCTTAAGACTAGTAACAGCTTTAACCATGTAGGAAGCGGCATCGCTAAAAATTTTTTCA